ATATGCAGAATATTCAGGTATCAGCCTTCATTTTTTAATTTTTAAACGAATAATACACTGCACCTCAATTTAACAGCTTATAAAAAATAAAAGTATCTTTTTTTCTTTTGCATCATGATTATAGCTAAGAATTAAGGACCACTTATTAGCACAATCGATACATTCTGAAGGAAAGGCAGAGGACTTACAATACATCAGACCAGCATCTATTGAGTAAAAAACAAAATTCTTTTTATGTTAAAATACCTATGGCACAATGCAAAAGTGCTATACATTATAATAATGAAATAGTTACTGAATTCACAAAGCTATCAGATTGCTAAGTAAGCTATTTGTACTAGACGCTCTAAATTTCTATATGTACATACATTCTTTTACCACAAGCTAATAATTGATCTAATTGTGGCAAACATGGTTTTAGTTTCCTCTTAATATATCTTGATGATCTGAATAGCATTTTTTTTCTTCCTTCCCAAGGAAGCCACTTGCATTAAAAAGACGAAAGCATTACTTACTCTGATTGGAAACCACCACCTCTTCACTTTTTCACTCTCATTCATTAAAACACAACGTAGTAAATTAAGCTACTTGGATTTCAGTCTAAGTGGGTGACATTTTAACTACTGCCCCTTCAACCTCTTCTCCCAGTCAATCTTGGGACAGAGAGAGGGTAATGGTGGCAGGCTGATGGAGGAATGGAGCCAGCAGAGTGCTGAGGTTGTTCATCACTGACTTCAGTGACTTCTGATACATGAGCCTCTCACTTGCCAATCAGAACTGTGATGGCTTTTACCTTGCATGACTTTACCTGCAACGGTAAATCATTTCTGCAGTGTTGTTTCTGAATCTAGACAAATGTGCTTTCTCGATTCCTCAGGTCTCTATGGGCTGTTCACTCTAAGACTAATAAACCACACAGTGGTACAGACAAGCTGCTGTTGACACAGGAAAGGGGTGACCCTTCTTATGTACTACTAAGAGCTATGCATTTCTAAAAGCAAGGCTCTTAGACTTGTATCAGCCATGTGCAAGGAAAATTAATCATTCTGGTTTGTCAGGCACAGTTCTAATGACAGTTCTATGATGGTCTGCTGGGGCTGTCATAACAAAACTCTATACATGGAGAGGATTTAAAAAAAAAAAGAGGAATTCAGTTGGATGCCTGTGGCTCACGCCTGTAATCCCAGGAGGGCAAAGAAAGTCCTTGAGACTTATCTCCAATTAACCACCAGAAAACTGGAAGTGGCGCTGTGGCTCATGTGGTAGAGTGCTTGCGTTGAGTTAAAGAGCTCAGGGACAGCGCCCACACCCAGAGCTCAAGCCCCATGACTGACAAAAAGAAAAGAGAAAATTTTACTTTCTCACAATTCTAGAGACTGGAATCTGAGATCACAATGCCAGGGCAGAGAAGTTCTGGTGAAGGCTGTCTTCTTGGCTTATAGACAATTAATAAGTATAATATCACTGTGCATGTATGTTCACATGCCTTTTCCTTATTTCCTTATGTCTATCTTTGGTCCATATAGAGGAGGGACAGCTTTCCCTGTGGCTCTGTCTCTCTCTGTCTCTATCTCTCTCTTTTTCTCCCTCTCTCTGACACACATGCACACATACACGCACATACATAAACACACATACATACATACACACACGTGCATACACATGCACCTAGAAGAGAAAAAGCCATTGAACACTGGTATCAGTAATTTTTTTTTTTTTGGATATCACAACCAAACATCAGGTCATAGTACAAAAGCAAATTAAGTAGGACCACATCAAACTAAAAGGCCTCTGCATAGCCAGGGAAACAGCCAACAACTCACAAAATAAAACAGAAACCTACAGATTGTGGGGAAAGTATTTGCAAACTAGGTATCTGATAATGGGTTAATACCAAAAATATATATGAACTCATACAATTCAGGGCTGGGAAGGTGGCTCAGTGGTAGAGTGCTTGCCTTGCATGCATGAGGCCCTGGGTTCGATTCCTCAGCACCACATAAGCAGAAAAAAAAAGCCAGAAGTGGCACTGTGGCTCAAGTGGTAGAGTTCTAGCCTTGAGCTGAAGAGCTGAGGGACAGCGCCCAGGCCCAGAGTTCAGGCCCCACGACCGGACACACACACAAAAATCAGGTATATTGGCATCCTGTAAACCCAGCAACTTGGGAAAAGGTGATTGGGAGGGCCCAGATTTTTTTAAAGACTATTAAAAAATAATAACTAAAAGTATTAAAGGACTAAGATTGTGGCTCAAATGATAAAAGCACCTGCCTAGCAAGAGTGAGTCCCTGAATTCAAACTCCAGTACAATAAAAAAAAAGGAAAGGAGTGTTCGCTTCGGCGGCACATATACTAAAATTGGAACGATACAGAGAAGATTAGCATGGCCCCTGCGCAAGGATGACACGCAAATTTGTGAAGCGTTCCATATTTTTAGTATGTTCACAAAAAATAAAATTAAACTAAATTTTAAAAAAAGGAAAGAAAAAGAAAAAGTGACATTGACAAAGATGTATTGCACATTGAATTGATATGTTGAATAGAAACCCCCTTGTACAACTACTTAAAAAATTTAAAGAAGAAATTAAAACTAGAATTACCTTATAACCCAGAAGGCACACAACCAAAAGAACTGAAATCATCTCTTAAAGGATACCATTCTCAGTGGCCAAAACAGGTAAATAAAAACTTAAACTTCAGGGCTGGGAAGGTGGCTCAGTGGTAGAGTGCTTGCTTTGCATGTATGAGGCCCTGGGTTCGATTCCTCAGCACCACATAAGCAGAAAAAGCCAGAAGTGGCATTGTGGCTCAAGTGGTAGAGTGCTAGCCTTGAGCTGAAGAGCTGAGGGACAGTGCCCAGACCCAGAGTTCAAGCCCCACAACCAGAAAAAAAAAAATCTTAAACTTCCATCAACAGGTAAAGAAATGAGCTATATACATACAATGGAAGATTATTCAGTCCTAAAAACAGGGACACCTTATCACTGACTATAACATAGATAACACTGAAGTAAAGTATGCTAAATAAGCCACACAAAAAAAATTGCATGATCTCACTTATGTGTAGAATCTGAAAAGACAAATTCAAACATAGTCATGTGTTTCTTAACAAGATATACTCTGAAGATGCACTGTTGGGTGTCATTGTGTGATCATAGAGGGTATTTATACAAACTAAGAAGCTACATCACTAGGTGGTACAGTCTCATGGGACCACTGTATTTTATGTGATCCATGGGTGACCTAAATATTGTTACATAGCCCTAGAGAACAAGACAGTCGTGATCAGGGCCAAGAATAGGGAGGAAATGGGGAAACCTAGGTCATAAGACACAAAGTAGCAGACATGTACAATAATGTACAACATGAGGGCTTACTACAGTTTGCATGGGCCCCCCCAAATGTTCCTGTGTTAGAAACTTAATCTTGAAGTTCACAGGTTAATGATATCTGGGGATGGGACCTTTGTGTGGTAATTAGGATTCAATGAGGTCATGAGGGTGGGCCCAGGACAGCACACGTCTTATAACAAGACTTACATAAGTCTTATATAAGACTAAAGTCTTCATAAAGACTATTAGAAGACTATTTCCTCTTTTAAGAAGAGGAAGAGAGGCCTGAACCTAGTACCTTTACTCTGTCTCAACACACAGTGCCTTCCACCATGTTTGAATGCAGCAGGAAGGTCTCGTTGGATGCTTTGCTGATGCGGGTACCACACACTTGGACCTCCCCAGATTCCAAGCTAAACAAAGTACTTTTTCTTTTATTATGAATTACTAAGTTTATGGTCTTCCTGAATAGCAGCAGAAAATGGGCAAAGATAGCTACACAAGGCTTTTGCCTTAGTATTATTATTTTTAATAATACTAAATGTCTTTTGTAGCATACATTTAAAAGCAGACCTCCCACACACATACATAATTGTCATCCTTATATGTAGATATATAAACTGGAACTAAGACAGTAAGTTTCACAATTTTTAATGCATATTCTTGAATCACTAGAGACTCCCCAATACACTTAGGCAAGAAATCAGATCCAATTTTTTTTCATTTAAAAACTATTCTTATTTGCCAAAGAGCACTGACTCCTTCAAACACTTAATGGCTTTTCTAATAGAACTATGTTGAAGGTCTCTGTTAAGAGATTTAAAAGAAAGGCCGTAAGCAATCATCCGAGCTACACATTCTTCCTGCATAGTTTAAGTGAGGACCAAGGTCTCATCAGGATTTGGAGTAGTTGTTCTTTTCATTCCCAAGTTTCCCCTTTCCTATTTGAAGGACTACTACAGCTTCCCAATACCAACATGTACCTCTCCCCGTCCCGTTCATTCCTGGAGGGGTACAGGGTGGTGCTGGCTTCTGCCATGACAGCCTGGAGAGCCTACAGGTGCAGAAGGATGGTTCGCGTTAGTTTCCTTGGGGTTGGAGAACAGCCTGGGGGGATCGGGGTAGGCAGAGGTGGGGCATCCACAGGCCCGGGCCCCCCTGTGCATTCGCCTACCCCTACCCCCTACCGGGGATGGAGGGGGGGGGGGGGGGGCCTCTGGAGAGGGGATGGCCTCAGGTGTGCGTCTGCGGCATGCCGCTGACACCACTCCTGAGTTCGCCAGGGCCAACCTGGCCTGGTGCCCCGGGACTTCGTCCATATCTGAGGAGCCGCCCCACCCCTCGGACCCCTCGGACCCCTCAAGCCCTCAATCGTGGAAGGGGAAGAGAGTTCGTCACAGCGTCCGCCAGAGGGCGCGCGAGGGCGGCTCCGTGGCGCGGCCGAAGGCGGGCCCGGGGCCCGGAGCGGGGG